TGAGACTTATGAAGCGGCTGCTTGTTAAGGGAATAAATGACATGATACTGACATAGTAATTTTTTCACTGTTAGGAGAAATCAAGATTCTCCCCCAGTTTTGGTCTAGGAGACTTTTGTTTATGTTTATAACAGCAAAAACAACATGTAATAACTTCCATCTGTGTGTTTTTCCTATATGTGGCTCATTCTGCTAAGACCTTAAATCAATTAGCAAAGAAATATGATTCTCATTTTACATGTGAGAAACCTGAGGCTCATAAAGGTCATATATTTTGCCCAGGATCACATTAATAAATGAGTATTGGAAGTGAAACCAAGTCTGGTTCTAGAAGCAAAGGCTATGGTCTTAAATATTATACTTTATTTCCTTACTAATTCTTTAAAAAGTGTTATCTGTTCTAGATAATTTCTGGTTGTCCTTACAGGTCTCGGTATCTGAAGACACATCCTAGTAGAAGAATATAAAAAAGTTGGGAGGTGGTAAAGAACGCTGTGCTATGTGTTTTAGTCCCTACAGCTAATTTGACAGTGATTTCTTTGTCAGTTAACTTCTCAGAATCTTGATTTCCTTATTTGTAAGGGGAAGGTGATCTCAGATCTTTTGTAGCTCTACTGCTGTAATATGGAGTGGGTATTTTTTTCTTAAAGTTTTCCATTAGAGAATGATTTATTTTTGCCAAATGGGAAAAGATAGAAAATAATCACAGGCTAACCAATAATAAAACTACCATATATTCGTGCCTACTCCGTAGGTACTGCTCTAAGTTATTTTTATATATATATATATGTGTGTGTATATATATATGTGTGTATATATATATATATATATATATATCATCTCAATAATTGTAAGAAACCTGTGAGGTAAAAGAGGAAATTGAAGCACAAAGTGGTGGTGTCACAAGTGGTAATATTTCACAAAGTAGCGGTATTTCTCCCAGGTCTTATAGCTGGTTCCTGTTGGCTCTGTGATTTGCATTCAAGTATCTGAGCCACTTATAGGAAAAATGAGTGTTTTTCTAGATATTATAAAAGATCAGAGTATATTTATTTGATACACATTTTTTTTAATTCAAGATTTATTTATTATTGCATACAAGAGCTGGGGCACAGGCCAGAGAAGCGGGGAGGGGGTTTGGGGGGTGGGTAAGAGAATTCACCAGAGACAAAGCGGGGAGCAGAACAGGCAGATGGACTGAAATAGACTGCTGAGGGGAGCAGCGGGCAAAACAGGAGAGGTCTGCTTCGCCAAGTGGGTTTCTCTCTGGCTGGCCGGGGATCAAACTTGTGCTGCAGAGGCTGCGGATTGCTTCATAGCGCAGTGCTTAACCCCTTGCGCCACCAGGGAGGCCCAATATACAGGTTTTAGAAAAATGGATTAGGTGGACATTTCTTGAGCAACTTTATAGAAAGAACTAGTTTATTTAGTTTATTTTCTTGATCTTTATGAAGAGCCATTATTGCAGTCATTTACTTCAGCCTTGAAGTGATTTATTGAAGTTGCATCTTTAATATAGTAATAGATTTTATGTGTTATTTCTATTTATAATTTATTTTACTAATAATGTAACTGATGGGTATAAAGAAATGACTAAAGCAAGCTTTGGTTTAGAGTAATGAAACCATTGTCACTTTTAAGTTAAATTTAATTTTTTGTAAGGTAGAAATAAACTGTATTGAGGAAAAAACCTGAATATTAGGAAATATGCTCTATTTTTGGTGGTTGTTGTCCTGAAAATGGAGTGTATAGTGTTCACACTTGGATTAGGTATGAATTTAGAAGAGTGTTTCATGTAGCAGCAACTCCCTTAGGAACAATACACCCTCTTTTGTGCGTGGACCTATCAGAGTAGAAGGGAACCCTTGTTAATTTGAAAAAAGCCCCAAAAGTGATCCAAATATTTCCTCATCTCCACCACAGTTCACTGTTGAAAATCACTGGTTTAGGAAATATTTCCAGCTCCTTTCTCCAAAGTCATCCAAGTATACTACATGGCATCTTCTGAAAGAGAATTAAAAAAGGCATTACAGCAAGAAGAGGAAAATAAAAATTACCATGAATAGAAGACTTTGCATTTAGCATTAAGACACTAGTAGATGGAAGTCATATAATATTAAGAGAGTTCGATTAGGTATTGGCCTTTGAAATCCCTTATATTTTAGGTAGGAGCAGGAGCACTAATTGGAAGATTTACACACTATTGCTAGTCTCTGTGTGTAGTTTTGCCTTTCCAATTAAAGAGGATTGAGACAATGGCTTGCTATTTGTACTACTATACTACTGCACCTAGTGGCGATGGACACATACAAGATATTAAAAAAAAAATTTTAATGACCTTAGCTTAAATTAAGGTAGGTTTTCGTTTTCTTTCTACCCAGTTTCGTTTAGTACAAAAGGGGATGATGCTGTGTATTTCTTACTATAACACAGTAGATAAGTTTGAATTCTGGGTTTCAAGCCAGCTGCTTTCAGTGAGACTGCCACTTAAATTTTCTTCTGCAAACAAATGGTTTTTCAAAGGACGGGACCGATGAGGTGGTGCTGATACCTTTTCTTTCCACACTTTGTACTATATAGATGCTCTGTAGACTCTGAAAGCTAGCTCTAATCAGCTAGAGGGCTGAGCAATAAATTCTCTAACTCTTAGCAACTTAGAGGCTGAGTAGGAAGTGAATATAGATAGCATCAAACTGTATTATCCTAGCAAGCACTTTTTTTTTTTGGTCAGTTGAGTGACTGTTTTCTTTTCTTTTTTTTTTTAATTTATTTTTTCTCTCTCTTTTTTTTAATTTTATTTTTATATTCCCCATACAATTGCAACCCCCTTATTTTGACCCCAATCCCTCCCCCCCACCCCCCACCCCTCATAGAGAGTCTCTGGTTCGTAGTTGTTTGTTGATTATGATTTTCACTTTCTTATATATATTCATTTTCCTGGTCCCTTATTTAAGTTTTCTAGATTTCTGCTATGAGTGAGACCATCCGGTATTTTTCTTTTTCTTTCTGGCTTATTTCGCTGAGCATGATCCCTTCCAGCGCCATCCATGTTGCTGCAAATTGCATGTGTTCATCTTTTTTGAATGCTGAGTAATATTCCATGGTGTATATGTACCACATCTTCTTGATCAGTCATCTATTTTTGGGCATTTGGGTTGTTTCCAAAGCTTAGCTATTGTAAACAGTGCTGCTATAAACATACGGGTGCAGGTGCTCTTTGGAGTTGATGTTTCTGTGTCATTTGGGTAAATACCTAGGAGTGGAATTGCTGGATCATATGGAAGCTCTATCTTTAGTAGGTCAAAAAATCTCCACACAGCTATCCATAGTGGTTGGACCAGTTTGCACTCCCACCAGCAGTGCAGAAGAGTTCCTTTTTCTCCACAACCTCGCCAACATTTGTTGTTGCTAGTTTTTTTAATATGTGCCATTCTCACTGGTGTGAGATGGTATCTCATGGTAGTTTTGATTTGCATTTCCCTGATTACGAGTGATGGTGAATATTTTTTCATACTAGCAAACACTTTTAAAGCATTTAAAAGATTTTTAAAAAATAATATTGAAGTCATATGTTCCATTTTGGTCTACTTGCAGATTATCAATGTTATAAATAACTTGTACTTGACCAACTGTCTTATTCTTATAAAACGTTTTCTTTTAAAACTATTCTTTTTAAACTTAATTTCTTTCTTCATTGATCTGTATTGCATTTAATTACAGAGATTTTTTTTCCTACAGTGGAAGTAACAATAGTATAATATGAATGTTTGTCATTAGTGAGAATGTATTACTCAGTTTAATGAACTGTGTGAAATCATGTTCATTTAGATAGCTTCTGAATCTACAGGAAATTTTTGTGAAATGAAGGAAGATTGAGAAATGATTCATTTTTATCTTATAGAAAACTTAGAAAATACTGATTGTACTATATTGTAATTTTTTTCCCAGACATTTTGTCCTAAGAATGTTCAAACAATAACCACTATTTCAGAGCACAGGTTAACAACATGCCGTCAACAGGGCCTTATGCCTTTGGTGTTCAGGTTTTTTGTTGGCGTGAGAATTGTTATTAACTTTGAGTTAATTTTTCTCTTTTTCCTAATTCTCTCTCCATACTATTTCATTTTCATGTTAAAGTTTGGCTTTGGTTTAAGAGTGCAATGCTCTTATGTACTCTGTGACAACTTTATGTGTTGTTTCACATAGACTGTACTGGGCAAGATGCCACAGGCTAGCCTAGGGAGAAGGGAGATTTTAAGCTTCCTTTTGTAATGATGAGATCCTTAAGTATAAGAATCTGTGAAAACTTTTTTTTTTTTTTTTATTTTTATATAGAGGCATGTTTTTCTTTTCTTTCTTTCCTTCTTTTGTTTTTTTTTTTTTTTTTGTTTATACATGCACTGGGTACAGTCAGAAGCGCGGGAGGGTGAGAGAATTCACCAGAGCCAGAGCGGGGAGCAGAGCAGGCAGAAGGACCGAAGTACACTGCTGAGGGGAGCAGCGGGCGGCAGGAGAGGTCTGCACGCCATGTGGGACCCTCCTCCGGTGGCCGGGGAGCAGCCGGGGATCGAACCGGCGCTGCAGAGGCTGCGGGCAGCTTCGCAACCCAGCGCTCAACCGCTGCGCCACCGGGGAGGCCCAAGAATCTGTGAAAACTTTTAACCATGGAAAAACATAGACCATAAGTTTCTTCTTTTTAAATAAAAATTGCAGACTCTCTCATGATCCCTTGCTATCCCTCCCCCCCCCCCCGCCATCTTTGATGCATAAAGATAGTAATCCATTAGGTAAAGTATTTTTCTATTGATAGTCATTAAAATTCAGCCGTTTAACTTCCTTCTTTATATTAGGGCCACTAGATCAGGCTTCTGTTTACCCGGTTTTATGAGCGTTAACTGTGGGAGTACACTTGGCTTGTGTTCTTTCTAGTGAATAGAAATGAATCATTATTTCTATGCTTAACTTATTCCCTTATGACAAAAAAAATTTTTTTGGCATAGCTTCACCAGGTGATATGGATCGGACACAAATAGAGCCCAATCTATACCTTGCATCTGTATTTACAGGTAAGATTTTTTTTTCACTTTAAAAGTTGTTGAACTTGGAGCTGTTCTGACTTTCTCATTTCCTTGTGAATTCTCTCTCATAACAATCAGTACAGTAAAGATACTAAATTCCAATTTTATATTTTTCTAAAATACCTATAAACTGACTCCAGGTATAAAATTCCCTCATGCACTAAACTCAGTTCTCCAAAGGCTTGTTAGGAGACAAAAAAAAAGGTCTATCATTCCCTTTGCAAAGTTTATGAAATGTTGAATAAAAAGACTGCAGGTGTGGTATTGAGAGCACTGAGGATAGTACTCAAGATAATTCCATCTGGGGGAGGTTATTTGTTGGGACAGGACAGTGTTTAAACTTTGAAGTCAGTTTTAAACAAAGTGAAGCAGCTGGAACCTGGCATAAGAAGAAACAAATCTTTCACATTAACTATTGCTTTTGAGAGGAAAAAGAATTGGAGTTGTTTTTACAGGTGCCGATACATTTATTCTTCCTATAGGAACTGCTTTATTTTTATCTCAAATTATAAATTTTAAAGTAAGCATTTGTCAGCTCATTTAAAAAATAGTAGCAATAGTAAACTTAAAAAGTGTACTAGGAGTTATATGTCTAAAACATATTTAGAGAAGAGATTGTAGTAACATTTTAAATCACCCTTTTAAACATGAAAGTAAGGGAAAATGTTTAATAATGACTAATTCTGGAAAGCAGAGGCAAGTAAAATGTAGACTGTACTTAACATCAAATGACCAGATATCTTCTTCATCAAGACTTATAGTTGTACTTGTTCTCAAGCACTGAAGCTGTGATGTTGCAAAATCTGCAGGGCTGGGTTAATTACGTGAGGAGAATCAAATACAGAAGGATAGTGGAGCAGCTGCTTAAACAAGGAATTGAGTAGATGAATCCAGGGTAAGCAGGAAAAAATGCCTCAAGAACTCAATAAAACACAGCTGAAATACTGTAATATTTTCATAGACAGCTGGGAAGCAACTGCATTGCTGGAACTCAGGGCTGGTTTTAAAGACAAGATCTGGTCAGCATGAATCTAAGCAAGATGTTAGCCATGAGGAACCACAGATTCTCTCTGTAGAAACAAATCCTTTGGTTCAGCAATCATTTCAAAGTTCAGTGGAATCATATAAGGTTTGTAGGCTCATGCTACAACTTTGTAGAAAGTAGGAGTAAGTTAGACAATGACTGGCCTCGTGGAGCACATTCTTAGCAGGAACAACAGACTCACAGGAAATGATGATGATACAAGATGATAAGATAACCTGTAAGTACTTGTCACTTATAATTACAAAGACTGTAAGTCCCAGTCCATCTCTTAAGGAATATACTGTCTAGTGGAAGCGACAGACACATAAACAAATCAGTGCAGTTTGGTAAGTGACACAGTAGAGTTCCTTAGGAGAATAAGGTATTAACTAACATTAGTGAGAGAGAAACTCCTCTTATTTTACCACTACTGCTGGAAAACAGCTCAGAGACTGTCACTCGTCCATGGGACTGAGGTATCCTTTAAGTCAATGAGGATTCCTTATTCTTACAAATCTAACATCTAAGAACAGAAAACAAAATTTGTTTATAAAATTTAAATATTTTTAAAACAAAAAAATTGAATTTTTAAAAAATATCTCAAATTATGTCTTTGGGGCCACAGACTCCTTTGAGACCCTGATAACAATGGCCACTTGTCTCCCTCCCAAACTGTACTTAAATGAGGATAATTTGCATAACATTTCAGAGTATTCACAGATTCTCAGAATATTCACCTCTCCATGGATTCTGAGTTAAGATCCTTCCTGTACGTGGATTCAAGATTATTATTTTTGTTTCCTTATAATTTTATTTTTAAATAGCAGTCTGTGAGAAACCAATCTATCTGCATGTAGGAAAACCTAAAGCAGGCAATTATTGTTTTACTGTCTATTCATCATCATCTATGAGAAAACCATAAATTCATATGGATTGCTTCTGGCATGTGTAGTTAAATCAGAATGAGGAACTTGAGATGCTGTACTACTAAAATGGAGCTACCAAGGAAATTTTTCTTTCTTTTCTCTGCTTGTCCCAGGTTGGTTTAGGAGAGAATGCTTTGTTTGGATTCTTCTCAGTTTGCAAATAACAGAGATATAATAGTGGGTTACCAAGTGTTTGAGGATTAGAGTCAGAATCTAAAAGCTGCTGATGAAATGGATTCTCTAAACTTGAAAAGCTTTTAGAAAGTTATGTGTATTTTAAAAAATAAGTAAATATACAGACAAAATCTTAAAGGCACATGAAAATATTATGCCATGTATTATTTAAAATAAATTTAGTTTTTCTCTTTCTTATTCTTATAAATCTAACATCTAAGAACAGAAAACAAAACTTATTTATAAAATTTAAATATTTTTAAAACAAAAAAATTGAATTTTTAAAAAATATCTCAAATTATGTCTTTGGAAGATTCAAACACATGGTTCTTCCTACTCATTGGCATTCCAGCTTAAATGTGTGCCAGATTAAATGACGTACTGCAAACCCATGGAAACAAGGAATAACCTCTTATTTGAAAACAAACCTGAAAACAGCTGTTGAAACAATTACATCATAGAGTAATGACATGACTGCGGAAATTTAAAAAGTCAAACTGTAAAAGCATCAAACTGCATTTGACATAGGTGTATTTGTTTTAATGGTGATTTACTAGGATATTATATTTTTTCTTTAGAAGAAGTTAAACTCTGTGAGGACCATAACTGGTATGAATGTGTATACATTCTTTGCCTGTTAACAGTAACTAAAGCGATGTTTTTTTTAAAAAAAAGTTCCGAGTCTAAAAAGTTTTATTTTAAAGTCCTAAAACTGACTCTTTAGCTTGTGTAAATGAATACTTCAAAAAGTTTCCCCCAAATATACATTAACAACCACCTTTACACAAGATGGTATCTTTTATTGATATAACTCTGTTTAAGTAACAGTGAAAGAGAGAAGTAACATAACTATTTGAAGACCTTCTAGAGCATTTTTTCTTGGTGCATTTCAGTGAAACATTCTTAGCCTTCTGTAAAGCCAACTGTCTTTTGCAGTTCATCCTATGGGCCATTGCCTTGGGATAATTCCTTTCCAGTTACATAAAAGTAAGAGCTCATCTGTTTGAGTGCTTTTTATGTGCCATCACTATACATGGCTCTTTATATGTACTATCTCATTTAATGTTCACAAAGCTGTGAGGAAAATAACGATTAAAGAAGTATAATTTCCCCAAAGTCTCTTACCACTCCTGTCCCTCTACACCTTATATGTTTTCCTTTATAGCACTACTGCCTCCTGATTTATTTCCTTATCATCTGCCCCCTACACCCAACCAGACTGTGAGTGATCAAATCTTTGTTTTGTTTTTTTTTTCACTGCTAGAATCTCCAGAATCTAATACAGTGCCTGGTGCATACTATGTTGGTATTTGTTGAATGGACAGATGGATGAGACACCCCCCTCCCCTTTCCGTCTCCCCAGCACTATATTATTTCCCACATAGAAACCTCACACCAGCAGACTGGATGGGACCATTCCCACAGGTCTGGACAGTAGGACTCATTTGGACACCCGAGACTTAACCTATCATAAAGGGACTTCAGCTTGAAACATCTCTGTTCTTCAGTTGCCCCTACCATTACATACCATTGCTTTCTCTCAACCATCTTTAAAATTAATAAATCTTAATATTGGGTAATTAAGGTAATTGGTATAGTGTAAAGAGCAGCAAGTTATAGTCTTAGGTTCACCAATTATGAATATGACAAATTATACAGACTTCCTGATTTTGAAAACCATTTCTTCTGTGACTTCACTCTTAGGTCTTTTCCTATTTATTTCTCTGATACTTAACGTTTTTTCCCCTACATTTGTATTTCCCCACATTTTTGTCATTATTTCTTAGTCCGTTTCCCCTCTGAAGGTGATCACTATTCTCTTGCTCTCATTATATCTGTGCAGATCTGTGTATCTCTAAAACTGCCTTACTGTCTCTGACATCTTTGATTCCAGTTGCCTGCTGGAAAGTCCACCTTGCAGATAGTCAATTTATCAAGTATGTAACTGATCCCAGCATCTCCCCTGCTTTCTATACCTCAAATTTGTTTGTGTTCTTATACTGCCTACTCAGTTACAAAACCTATCATGAGAGCCGCACACAATTCTTTGGAAGTACTGTTTCCCCAAAATGCCCAAAAATAGATGACTGGATCAAGAAGATGTGGTACATACACACAATGGAATATTACTCTGCAATCAAAAAAGATAAACTCATGCAATTTGCAGCAACATAGATGGAGCTGGAAGGAATCATGCTCAGCGAAATAAGCCAGAAAGAAAAAGGAAAATACCGGATGGTCTCACTCATAGCGGGAATTTAGAAAATCTAAATAAGGGATCAGGAAAAAGACTAATTATAATAAAGTAAAAATCAACAAGCAACTATAAACCAGAGACACACTGTGGCAGGGCTGGGGGGAGAGGAGAAGGGAGTAGGATCAAAACAAGGGTGGTGGGAATTTTACGGGGACTGTAACCAAGATGAAAATGCATACATTGTACAAAAATGAAAAATTACGTAAAAAATATATAAAATTTTAAAAAAAGTACTGTTTCCTTCAAAATATTTTGACTCTAGTTCCACTGCCAAGCATTATCCATTCTTGCATGAACTCTTTCCATATATCCCTCTGGTCTCTTCTTACTTTCCCCACAGCTATTAGAATTCTCCTTTCCAAAACACATTTGCTCGTATTACTCCTCTATTCAAAAATCTACACCTGAAGGGAGAAATCAAATATTGTACAAAAATGAACAATGGTGTAAGAAAATAAAATTTTAAAAAATCTTTTGTGGACTTATCATTGTTTACAGAAGAATCTGACCTTCCTTTACAGCTTCTCTCTTACCATTCCATATTTGGGTATCAGAATACTCAGAGTTCCCTTAACATTCTAACTTTATTTTGTTTTCTCTTTTCCTTCATTTTGTTTTTCTCTTTTCTTCATTGCTTTCCACATTTTTAAGTCCCAGCTTAACTGCTACTTCCATATAATTTAAATATTCCTGTACATGTCCATCTTCACTGCTAGGTTATGAGCTTCTTGAAGATAAAGACCAATTGTTTTTCATCTGTGTGTCCTCTTAGTCCCATCTTATCCATGCATTAAGAGCAGACTTGGGCCTCTCCTGGTGGCGCAAGCGTTTGAGTGCGGCGCTGTGAAGCTGTCCGCAGCCTCTGCAGCAAAGGTTCAATCCCGGCTGGCCTGCGAGGGTCCCACATGGTGTGGCAGACCTCTCCTGTCTCGCCCACTGCTCCCCTCAGCAGTGTATTTCGTCAGTCTGCCTGTTCTGTTCCCCGCTCTATCTCTGGTGAATCCTCTCACCCTCCTGCGAATCTGGCCTGTACCCTGGTTCTTGTATAAATAAATAAATAAATAAATCTTTTTTAAATAAGAAAGAGCAGACTTAGTGGACATCTGCTTTTGGATAGGCCCACCTTCATGTGTTTGTACTTCAGTTGCCTTGACTTTCTCCACGAATTATTGTTAGAATGGGATAAGATAATGGGGGAAAGGTCTTTGCAAAATTCTGAATTTTTTCTGAAATTTTGTATTAAAACATTAATGTAACTTTACAATAACAAAAAAATAGAAGTGTAACTATAATAACTGCATTAAAATGTTCCTTGAGATTCGAAAACTTTGAGATCCAAAAAAAAAATTATAATTCTTTCTGCATCATTGAGCAATTTAAGCAATAATGCACATAGAAAATGAAGGCACATATAAAGCAGTTTTGTGAAATTAACTGAGAAAAGAAGGCTAGTATCAGTGTAGTATTTGGCAGATTTGCAAATAATTCAAGAAATGAATTTTTTTTGTTGTTTTCCTTCTTGGGGGAAGGTAGCATTTAATTTGCTATGTGAATTGAAAAAGTAATTTTACTGCTGGCTTTAGTTATACCATATGTTAGTTTTTACTTTATTCACAAAGTAAACTTTGATCTGGCTATATTCTTGGTTATTTTGTGTGCTCTGTATCATGGCTTTGTCAAATGTGAGGATATTTGAGTAATATTTATGTCCTGTAAAGATTTTTTAAATGGTAGTTCTTATTGTTTCTTAATTTTAGGTTTTAATCACATCCTGATAGAACTAAATTTCAAAGGGTTTTCCTATTTGAAATATTAATTCTACTTAAATTGACATAGAATTACTTTCTTCTGTAAAACATACTGGTGTATTACAGTATGTTGTGTGCTATATTGATACTAAATTATATTTACTTTCCCTCTTTTATAAGAAAATATAATTTTTTTTGTTTGTTTATTCAAATTACAAAAGCAGCCCTTCCTGATGGTGTAGGAGTTAAGTCTCAGCACTATTACTGCTGTGTGTTAGTTCAATCCACAGCCAGGGAGCTGACCCACATGGTGCAGCAGACCTTTCCTGTCTCACCCGCTGCTCCCCTCAGCAGTGTATTTCAGTAGATCCACCTGTTCTGCTCCCCACTCTGTCTCTGGTGAGTCATCTCACTGCCTCTCTCCCACCCCCATCTCTGGCCTATGCCCAATTCTTCCATGCAAAAATAAATAAACAAATTTTTTTTTTAAAAAAAAAAAGATGCTCTCACACTAAAATAGTCTTTTGAAATGTCCTGATATGAAAGGAATTTGCCTTTTTCCAAGTGTTCTGCTCATCTTGGACAGCTGTGATGGAGTCATCATTAAACTCTTCAGAGCTGTCTACTTTTATCGTGGTCCTCATAAAATTGAATGGAAAATCTTGCCTTAGTACTATGGAAACAACTTGAAAAATATAAGGGAATTTCAGAAAAATCACTCTTGACAAGAAATAGCTTTAAGATAATTTGTTTTTAAGATGCTTATTATCTTTGTGTATATATGGTAAATCCATGAAATTTGAAGTGAACATTTCTGTGGTCTTGATACCAAGTTGACATTCATTATATTCTTTTTTGTTTAATTTTTTGATTGAACTTTATTTTCTTACATTGTTGTTCATTTTTGTACAATATTTGATTTCTCCCCTCAGGTGTAGTCCCCATAAATCTCCCTACTACCACATCATCCATGAACTGTCACCATAGTCCGTTGTGCTCTTCCCTCCCCTGTTTAGACCTCCTGTCTCCCCTGCCACTGCAGTATTCCTCAGATCTATAGCTTGCCTGAAAGTTTTGTGGCTTTTTGACCCTTTGTTTGGTTTCTCCATATTCTTCCTATAAGTGAAACCATTCAATATTTTTCTTTTTACTTCTGACTTAACTGGGCATAATCCCTTCCATCAGTAGCTCCATCCATGTTGCTGTGAATGGCATGAGTTTATCTTTTTGATTGCTGAATAGTATTCCTTTGTGTATATATACCATATCATCTTGATCCATTCATCTGTTTTGGGGCATTTAGGTTGTTTCCATATCTAAGCTATTGTAAATAGTGCTACAGTAACAGGAGTGCAAGTTTCCTTTTGAATTAATGTTTTCTGTTCTTTGGGTTGATTTCTAGGAGTGGAATTGCTGGGTCATATGGTAGATCCATTTTTAGTAATTTGAGGAACATCCACACAGCTTTTCATAGTGGTTGGACTAGTTTTCATTCCCACCAGCAGTGTAAGAGGGTTCCTTTTTCTCCACATCCTCACCAGCATTTGTTTCTGCCAGTTTTTTTAATATGGGCTATTCTCACCAGTGTGTGGGGGGGTACCTTATTGTGATTTTGATTTTCATTTCTCTGGATTATAAGTGATGTTGAGCATTTGTTCATATACCTCTTGGCCATTTACATTTCCTCTTTGGAGAAATGTCTTTAGTTCTTCTGCCTATTTTTTTAACTGGGTTGTTTGCTTTGTTTTTGTTAAATTGTGTGGGTTGTCTCTTCATTTTGGTTATAGTCTCTCTTGCTGTTACAGAAACTTTTCAGTCTGATGTAATGTCAGATGTTTCTTTTCTTTCGTTTTCTTTGCTTCTGGGGTGAGTCCTTGAATATGTTTCTGAGAAATATGTCATGGAGTATTATGACGATGTTTTCCTCTATGTATTTTATGGTTTCAGATTTTACATTCAGGTCTTTTATCCATTTTGAGTTGGTTTTTGTGTATGGTGTAAGGTAGTAATTTATATTCTATTTTAAATTGAGGTAACTGATTTATAATGCTGTATGTGATTTGGAGGCATGGGATTACACCTCCCATATTCTTAGGCATGTGCTTTAAACTTAGCAGAGTGAGTTAGGGCATATTCAAATAGATACATTGTCAACTCTGGGTTTTGTTTTGTTTTTTTTTTAGCATGCTAACGAATTCTTCATCCCAAAGTCTTCCCTCTGCCACCAACCAGCTTCTAAGTTACCTCCCACTGCTCTCAATCCATGGAATAGAATTTCCTCCCTCCCCCATATTTGGTTAAATCTAGAGATAATGTTAGAAGAAAAGTCTATTTTTACAGAGAAAAGTACTTTTCCAAAGTCAAATATCAATTATTTGATGACCACTTCAATATTTTTTCATTTGACATTGCTTACTTTATGTCAGTTCTGTTAACAGCACCTTTAGACACTTGTAAACAAGCATCAGTGACATGATCTGAATTGAAGGCTCATGTTTTAGGAGTAGGAGGAAGAATGAAGTATCTTGACAACTTTTGCTTTCAAATGTTTTTTACCTGGCTCATATCTTACTGCTTATAAAAAACAAACCATGTTCTTCCTATAACTTTAACAGGAAACATTTGTTTTAAGACTATTCCTGTGTGTTTTTTATTGGACTTTGGCTATTTACTTGATGGTGATAGTAATAGTAGTGATTTTTTAGTGGTAATGGTAGCTTTTTGAGCATTTAAAATTCTAAGTTCTGATGTTGAACTCTGTACTGGTACTATTATATCCTCATTACACTCTGCAAGGTAAGAAGTATTAGCCCATTAATACAGGAGGGCTGCAATTTGAAGTAATAAAATAACTTGCCCAAAGTCACAGAGCTAGTAGGAAGAGGGTAAGAGTGAATTTCATAGGCTAGGCTCTTACCTCTACTCAGTCTTACCTAGTATTTATCATTTGGATTTGCAAATTATCTTGGTCCATTCAGGCTGCTATAACAAAATACTTCACACTGGGTATCTTATAAACAACAGAAATATATTCATAATTCTGGAATTTAGAAGTCTAAAGTCAGAGCACCTTTTCCTGGTTCCATAGCCAGTGCCTTCTCATTGCATCCTTACGTGGTACAAAGGGCTAGCAAGCTCCCTGAGACCTCGTTTATAAAGGCTCTATTCCATTCATGATGGCTGCACTTCTGATAACCTAACTACCTTCTAAAGCCCCCCCACCCCTTCTAAAACCATCACATCAGGCATTAGAATTTCAACATGGGTTTTTTTTTTTTTTTGGGCGGGGGGAGGTGTAAACATTCAGATCAAAACATACTCTTTTAAAATGTTGTCTTTAATTATCTGGAGGTGGAAATGGAAAGGAAGACCAGTTCTGAACATCTTGAGAAAGGGAGTTACCTCATATGCAATCTTGGTTTTGGTCCCCTACGTTATTTAGAAAAGTTTAAAGCACATAGATATTCAGGATGTGCTTGTTTGGCTGAATGATTTTCTCCTTTCGCAGGTGGTAAAGCCGTACCACTGTTCACTTCTCAGACGTCTCCCGCCAAGATGTCTGTGACACTGCCCTCGGCGAACTTAGAGGACTTCTCTCAGTCTCTGAGCATCAGCACCGTCCAGGGGGACGTGGAGTCCTCAGCAGCAGATACCTTCTGAATGGGAAGTGAGAACCTCCACAGCATTGGTACCACAGGCTGTGAAGTCATATTTCTCTTGTGTAAAATCATCTCTCAGACTGTCTGGTCTTTGAGCATACTCTGAAAAGTGAATTTTATTATAATAAAAGTTTAATTTGGGTATTTAAGTAAGATTTTTAAATAAAATGATTAACTATAAATCACCATGAGTCTGGCCATGAATTATTTCTTCGAATCCTGAGACAGCATGGAATAGTGGAAAGGGCATGTCTTTTGACATCTAAGAATGTATTCCACAGATATAATTATCTTTTTATGGTTATGAAGTTATGTTGCTCAAGGTTATTCATTCCAATATTTTATAACAGCAATTAATTGAAAGCAATTGAAATCCTATCTATAAGGGACTGTTTTTAAAAGTGTTGCTCTATCTGTGCCTTGGAATACTATGTAGTACGAAAAAGAATTTATAATTGTGTATTGATAGGGAATTATCTCTGAGATGTGTTGTTGAAATGAAAAAAGGCATGTGCAAAAAAGGCATGTGAATTATGCTACCATTTTTTAAAATGTGGCAAGGATGAATCCAAATATATGAAGTGTGTATACATATAATGCTTATATACATATATTTGCTGAAATACTTTAGGTTTCACTTTTTTTAATTTTTAAATATAAAAATTTTTTAGGTTCCACTATACAATCTTTTTCTTTGCTATGATTTTTTGATCAGTTCTGCTTATAATAATTCCTATTCAACAAGTAGATGAAAAATGCTGCTCTCTGGATTGTAAATTGTTTTTGATGTTCATCTACAAGCCTCTGAGTAGGATGAAGCTAAGGGGAGACTTCTAAGTGCTGCTTCATTTTAAACATTATCCTTTGGTTTCTCTGGTTTTCAAAGCAACTTCTGTTTGGAAAAGATGTTGTTTAATTTTACTTTTTTTTAAAGATTGATATATTTATGCATACAAGAGTTGGGATACAGGCCAGAGATGTGTGGAGGGTGAGGGTGAGAAGATTCACCAGAGACAGGGTGGGGAGTAGAACAGGCAGATTGACTGAAATACACTGCTAAGGGGAGCAGTAGGCGAGACAGGAGAGGTCTACTGCACCATGTGGGTACCTCCCTGGCCGGGCAGGGCTCAAATTTGTGTTGCAGAGACTAAGGATAGCTTCACAGTGTTGTGCTTAACCCCTTGCACCACCAGGGAGGACCGTGTTGTTGCTTAATTTTAGCAAAAGCATTTATTATTTATTGGTGTGGACAGTTTTTTCCTCTAACCATGGAAAATGTTCATTATCTAATTTTAAAGTAGAAGTATAATCTTTGATTTATTCTACTCCTTGTGCATTTGAACTTTTCTTTAAAAAAAGGTTTGTTGTCTGCTCACCAGTATTTTCCAGTATTTTGTGTTATAGGATTATTTCTGGTGAAGGTTACTCCTATATGTGTGTGTGTGTGTGTGTGTGTGTGTGTGTGTGTGTGTAATCTGCCAACCACCTTATGTCCTTTTGAAATAAAACTGTGTGTAAAAGTAAATTAAATGGCATTTTTGATGTTACGAGCTTTAAAAAATTTCATATTTAGTTTTATCATTTTAACTTCTGAAATGAAGTATTTATAAGGTGCTGCTAAGAATAGGCTCTGTAAAGAACAAAGCTGTTAATACTGATGGGTTTACATATCTTAACACCAGGGTAGCAAGATAAAGTGTTGTGTTGGCATAAATCCTAAGGTAAATTTGTTTTTTGTGCACACTAATAGAATCTCAAATGAATGTTTTTTATTTTCAGAAGATGATTAGTTCAGTGTATTTCTTACCACTAGCATATTTCTGGTCTCTTATTTTTTCTTTTTAAATGCTAACCATATATTTACATCAATTTTATTGTTTTACTATTAAAAACTCAAAACATTTTCTATAAAATAAACACAATAACATTTCATGATGGATTTCTACCCCCCATCCAAGAATAAAATTCTATAGTTCGAAACATTATATCTTTTAACACATTATACTATTATACTTATTATATAAGTATACTATTATACTTAGATGAATAACTTAATAGTAATGGAGAGTAAAATCCTTAGTATATCTGTGATGTTACCAAAAAGAAATCCACTTTAATATTCTTTTCTACTGTCCATCCATGTTTCGATTTAACAAATATTAACTATTAAGGATGGCGGGCATACAGTGTGGTATGGATACTTACAGGCCAGACTGGGCAGCAATACCAAGATTTGTGATTCCCCTGTTTTCAGTCAACAGCCTCTCCTGGAGGACAAGGCTTGACCACAAGGAATTCTGTCTTTCCTATATAATGATTGTTTGGTCATCAAACATCAGTTGCATGGTAGTTTTAAAGAATCACTGTAAAATTCATTTAAGAAAAGCAAGCAGAATTATTGTGAGAAATTCCAACATTTCAGGAAGCCAGTACTTTATTTTACCTAGCCCTGCCAAGAGAATAGATTGTAATTCTCAGATTGTCAAATCTTTGAGAGTAATCAGTCTGTGGCCATATATATATATATATATATATATATATATATATATAATATTTTTTCTTCTTGTTCAGAAATGTTTACCTAGAAACAATAGGAAATAATAGCCAGAGTGCATATGCCCCCCTGCAAGACTAATAAATACTGTAAAGCTATGTGATGGTCCATTAATTACCAAGAGAGTAAGCGAAGCAAAGCTTTTTGCTGGGTCTTTGTAGTGTGAATGGTCTAATTTATAATTTCAGCCATAGGGAAAGATAAGTAACAGATACATCTTTTGAATTCAAGTACTCAAGGTAAAAACCTTCAAGCAAATCAATAGAGTCCTAACTTCTGGAAGTTTACTCTCATGAAAACCCTGAAAAGACCCAGATGGTAAGAGACTGAACAGGATTTAAAATCTTCAAAGGAACTGTTAAGGAGTCCCAGGAACTGTTCTTGGTATACACAGAGGTCACAGATAAAGAACAGGCCTTGTGCCATACAGCTAATAGAATCTATGTAGAGAGAGCATGCATCTTTTTCCCTGAATTTTAATGACAGACGGTGATAATTATTTCATCCAATATTTTGTAGTCTGCTTTTCCAAAACAAGGACATTTTTCTGTTTTTCACAAGGTGTTACATTAGGAATAAATATTTAAGTTGTAGTATAGGAGATATTTCTGTCCTTGGGATAGTAGTTGTATGAGATTTCTTGGTAAGCTTGGTAAATATTTTTATTTCCTTTGGTCTTATTCCTCAATAGTTGGATAGATTATTAAATTAGCATAGGTACCCATGATTATTTTGGAAGATGATTAGGTTGATTTTCATCTCTGGTCAAATATTGGCTGCGTGTTATTCTATATAATTATAACAACGAGTTGGAGTGTCTGGGCCTGGATATTTGTTGTATATTCAAAAGTATAGAGGAAATATTCAAATCTATCCTTCATGGATTTGTCTACCAGCACTGTGCAGATAGGAAGCATAATTTGAGTAATTCCTAGAATTGGAAATGGGTGACAGGTTCAACAAGAGGTCAGGATAGCAGATTCATTGTTTGAATCATTCTTAGGAACAAGGTAAAGGAAATGTTTTATTTCAGAAAAGGGGAAAAATGAATAATTGTCATAGAGAACCCAGAGAAGGAAAGCAACAACCCATAGTTAAATATTAACCATCTTACAAGGAAGTCATTCAGTTTGATTGGGCATAATAAAAGTTCTGCTTTTGTTTCATTGTCTTGGGTGGACACTTCTGAAGTTGTCTGCTAGATCTGAAGATCTCAGTTAAGCTGTTGAAGCCAGTGGCTTCTAAAGGCTTCTTTGGTTGGCTTCAACTTGTATTCACTGATGGGAGTAGAAGTCTTGTTGGTCTGAGTTAGAAGTTCACTTTCATTTATGACAATATTAAACCCTGGGTATACTGTTGTAGATGTTGTCAAGAGGAGCTGAAATGGCTCCTACCAATGATGTTGAAAGAATTTTTTCATCTGTATGTGCATTTTCTGCAAAATAAAACCCAAAATGAGGTGGCTTTAAGAAACTATATATTCATGTTTCTGTGGATGAATAATTTGACTGGGTTCAGCTGGGACAGCTTTGCTCTGCTTCTTGTGATGTCTGGCTTTACACATACATTTATAGTCAGTTGATAGTTGGCAGCCTGGTTTACATGTCTGGTGATTGCTTGCTGAAGGAAAGGCAATGGAGGACCCCGTGTCCCATTGTCTAGCAGGTTAACCTGAGCTTATTCACATGATACTGGTCTGAGGGCTTCTAAAAGTGACAAGAAAGGGCAAACTCCAAAGTTCAAGCAGTTTCAAGTCTCTGCTTATGTACTGTTAATGCCTTATTGTCACATTTCCAAGATGGGAATGATTTGTGGCCCCATTTGGAATTTAGCACATCCTTTTATCTTTTAGTAGATCTGGTCACTTGAGCTAGAAGTTGCAAAGGTTTGACGATAGCTCTTTTGGAAAAGTGTCTTGTATATTCTAGGCATAAAAAAGTATGCTAGATTAACTTCTGACAGTATTTAGTTAGCTCTGCATGCAATAAAATGTAATGATTGGTATATTTATTGCCCATAAATGGTTGGCAATAAATATACCAATAGGGCATTCTATCCTAGAGAGGAAATCTCTGTGAGTTCTGAGAAAGTGATCATTTGGCCATTAACATGAGTGACAAATGATTAAGCTAAGTATTTTTTAGTTTAGAACTGGAGTCAGCAAATTTTGAAGGCCAGGTAGTATATATTATATAGGCTTTGCAGCCTATATAGTCTCTATTGCATAGTCTACATTCTTTGTTTTTTGGTTTGGTTTTGTTTTCACAAACTTAAAATATGTTAGAAGCATATTTTCTTTTTTAGCTCATGGGTCATATGAAAACTGTGCAGGCCATATTTGTCCCATGGGCTACAGTTTGCCAGCCCTTGTTTGGAACAGGCTTAGCTTCAGTGTCTCATTTGTTCTTTCTACCTTTCCTGAATGGAGAGTAAAGTTTTGTGTCAGGAGAGAAATGCTGCAGAGTTACTTTGACTGTTAGGGTGAGATGAGTTCCATAGTCACTAGATAGGAAAGTAGCAATTCCCTGTGCTAGAAACACAAAGTCTAACAATATTTTCCTTCTATCTGTAATTTTTCATCATGAATGAAAAACCCTGGAATCTTTTAGAGTATTGATTAACATATATTTAT